TAGCGCTTCCTACTGCGCTGAGTGTTGTGGGTTCGACCCCACACTGAACAACACTCTGTATGATCCACAAATTGTTGTTCTGAGTCTGGGTGTTTTTGTATCCGTTTCATGTTTGTCTGTAAAGTTCCCCGCGACACTTGATATATTTACGGGAGTTGTCTAATAAAAAAACAAACAAACTGAACTGTTTTTGGAAAAAAAATCCGTATCACAGCAGGTCAACGTATGGAAGTTACTTTTTTTAAAATTTGCAGTATATTATTTGAATAATTAGCGTTCTATACTTTTTATGCATTTAAACTTTAGGTATTTCAAATAGCACGCTTCTCCGTTTCTACGCTTATTTAAATTTCAAACTTTTAATCTTATTATGAAAAATACAAATAACATATAAACAATTTTAAAACACATTCAAAGGGTGAATATAAATGGGTAAGAGTAGGTTCAAAACAGTCGAGGGCTTTGATCTTTATTCGTAATGAATTGACTTGACGCTCAGACCAAACTTAAGAATTTAAAAAATACTTATTGCAATTTGTCAAGACGCAGAATTTGTGTTGCTCATAATTTTGATACGCATGTAGTCTTATAACTCTTTCAATCCTTCTTCTTATGATAATTTAAATAAGCCGTAACTTTATTCTGTTACCAATGGATGGATTAAATAAGTTAATAGCCTATTAATTTAAAATCCAGAATTGTTGTTTTGCAGATTTTTACTATGTCACAAATTACAACTTTACTTATCATACTAAATGTAATAATCTGATTGTGGAAAACGTAGGTATTTCAGAAGAAATAAGATTACCTTTAAAAGAAAAATATTAAAGGATATCATGAATATGGATCTCAGAGAATTCGTTCTAGCTAATATCAAACAAATCAAGTAGCACTCGAAAAACACACATGAAAATAATGACAATTCACACAAAAACAACAGTTACGCCAAATCCTGTGAATCCAACCAAAAATAAGACTGCGTATGCGCATCGGCGACTGTATAAAGTGAAGAGACAAAGGGACGACGCGGGGTGAACGGGACAGGGGGGAGGAACCGGGACCAGTTAAACAAAGACTGCGGAGCATGTCCACGAATAAGACTGTATATCAATCTTGTGTCAGCGTACCTGCCCAAAACGACTGGCATAAAAAAAAGCGCGCCGCCCGCGCAAAAAATAAGAAACGCCGGAAAAAAAAATTTCGACAGTGAACCCCTTTAAATTGTTGTGTGAGCTGCCAATTAAAAATTGATAGATACAAAATCGTTTTCGGCTGATGGTTTATATTTGGCAATTCAAACTTAAAATGGTCATTAATACATTAATTTTATAAATAGAACTTACACAGCAAAGCAATGTTTAATAGATTTTAGTATGAAAAGCTTTACAATTATAAATTTTTTCATAAATAATTAAGACATCTTTTCGTCAATACATACATGTCGTAAAGCTACTAATTATTTAATATTGTTATTTTGCTTGTATTATCTGTGAAAAATACGTTTTCAAAATGGCTGCATACTTCCATGTCACATTAATGTTATAAAAAATATCAATTTGAGAATCTTCTTCTCAGATCTTGGCTCCCAATCAATCTCGCACAGAGCTTAGTAGAAGTATGTTTGAAATATATTTTACATAATTGTAACTCACTACGTGCGGCTACACAACACAACTTTTGTATGTAAATTTTAACAAACAACGGACAATTAGTAATAAAAGCTTATGAAAAACGAACTAAAAAGCAAGCTGAAAGACAATACAATAGTCAGTGGCGAACAGCCAGACATCCAGACATTAATTTAACTTGCATAATTAGTTCCAGAGTGACGAAAATAGTTTAAGTTACAACTTTGTATCAGTCGTCTCTTTTATTAGTCCAATCAAGTCAGCTTCTGATACTGCATTCTTATTTATGATAGCATTAAAGTTGTTTTTACATTAAGTTCCTTCAGTGTTTTTTAAATTACACATTAAGAATTCCATATGGTTCGTCTAAAAGCGTCTGAATTAAACTTAGAATTCAACATCACAGATATGAAATTTTGGATGTCCTTTTTATTTTCTCAATAACTTTTTAAGTTAATAATTGGGTATAACAAGTCTACATAATTAAAAAATCAAAAACCCGACTGCAGATAGATAATTTAAAAGAAATGAACTAATTAAAATATGGACATGATACACCATTTTAAAATCCTCATGATGAGCCCTTTAATTTGATGCAATCAGTATCAAAAAAAAAATACTTTAAACTAAATCGTCTCACAGTCATCATGTTGTTTTTGCGTTGCCTATCTAAGAACACTTGGGTTACCAAGACGAATGTAACGATATGTAAATTAAATAAATCCGTGCAGTGGTTTGGAAGATATGAGGTAATAAGAAATATTACATGCATAAATACAAGATACTCGTGAAAATCATAACCCTGCCTTAGCAGTCGGATAAAAAAGGTGTATTTTTGCTCATTGTTTTTAAATAATTAAACAGCAGTACAAAAAATTACACTCGAACATAAGCCTCAGCGTTATTGGATTAAAAAAAACCTATACGGACATATACCTACCACATCTTTACTATGGTTTATTGTGCGCTGTCTCTTTCTTCGATATGAACTCCCAGTACTTTGAAAAGAAGTACTCTCAGACACATCGAATATTTCAGAATAGGCATTAGACATTTGTGACGGTGATCTGAATGTGAATCTGTTTCTGACTCAGTGTCACGTCGTAAATAGTTACGATGCCCATATAGAGTCGTCTATGTCCATCCAGACCTTCTCTTATCGTTCACGACTAGGCATTCTGATAAGCAGGAGTTCTTCTTTCTGGATATAAACTCGGAGTAATATTCGTGAAAGTATACTGTGGAATTAAAATGAAATTTTGTTTTAATAATCGCCATTGGTTGTTCGCTAGAAGATTTATGATCACATTTATAAAAAAGTTTGCTTGCGCCATTTTCCCTGAATATTTTTCTGAGTATACCAAATTTCATTCATCTGTGCACAACAAGAAAACGAAATGAATAAAAATGGGTATTGATTTATATATATTAATATTAATGGCGGATTTGATAATTATTACTTGACTATGAAAATAGTAAAAGTCCAGACTACTTATTAATTTTATTCCTAAACAGAAATCACGTTCAATTAAAATCTGTCACGTAAAAAGCGTGTTTAACTTCTGAACTAGATACATGAATTAATACTTTGTATTTGCATATGAAATGCATTTTCGTCTAGTCACGAAATGGGAAAGCTATTTTGACGTTCAACAAAAACTGTTCAAAACAATTATAGACATGTTCTTGTAATTAAAATATAATTATGCAGTTTTGTAAATTATATTTGACGACCGAATGGCGTAGTGGTTTGTGTAACGGACTGCTATTCCAAACATTTATGTGCATAAACATTTAATTTTTGATTTGGTCTGGGTGTTTCTATGTATAATAATGTATTTACAAGAAAAAACTAAATATGTATTTATATCAGTTGTCTAGTACCCATAGTACAAGCTCTGCTTGGTTTGGGACTAGATGGCGTTTTGTGAATGTGGTACAATATTATTTATTTATATACTTCCTTCAACGAGTAATTTACACAATAGGTACGTTAATTACCTACACGGGGGGGGGGGGGGGGTCGTCTACTCGTCTTTAGATGACCCGAGGTATGCCGGGGCGCCAGGGACTTCCTTTCTAGGGTATACCTGGTTCCCCGGCTATTAGTACCCGAGACGGCGTGCGGTTTTAGTCGGTTCGAGTCCGACATGCCACCGACAGGTGGTATCCGAGGGGATTTCCGCACGGAAAAAAAAGGTACTTTAGTTACCTGTCACGTATAAACAACTGTCATGTATAAACAATAAATTTTTATGAACATTTAATGTTTATACATGACAGTTAACACATACAACAAATAAATTTCAATAACTTATTTTTTAAATTATAATTTAAGAGTTTTCAAATAATAGTTTGCTTTAACATGCAACTTAACCTATACTAATACCATTAAAATTCTTAAAGTTTTTGTCTGAAATACAATAGAAAAATTCATCTATGAAAATTTATATATATGTGTGTTTTAACAATCGTTACAGTAAATAGCTTTCTTGTATTATAGACAATACCAGCCAGAAAGTAAACTGATACCATCACATAAATATTTATTGGGCTATCAATATTGTCGCGGTCTATTGCACTCGGATACTCACAATCCGGGGAAATTGAGATGACTAGACTTGAATGCTGTGTACCAGATCGTAGTATTGCTGGACACAAGCCGCGCCATATCACGTTACGCGCGGTCAGCGATTTACCTCGATTAACGTTAGTTCACCATTACATGAAAACAGTGCATTTTCGGTCCCCATTCCGTTAGGTTGTACTCACCAAACCATACCATTATAGATTTAGTTAAGTTAATATAAACCAAGTTGGCTTAACTCTATATTTTATTTTCCCTGTACGGTAACCATAACCCGTACACTTGCTATAGTTAAACATTTGATAATATAAAATTGATAAATTTTACTAGAAACCCCTGTTTAGTTTTCTGCATTATCTATTTGTAATAATGTAATAAATTTAGAGTTTTATGTTCGATTGTGTTTTTGTTGAACGCGGTTATCACTGGAATTATAAATTGAATTTATAACAATCTTTAATATTGGGTAGAGAATTAATTGGGAAATATTATAAGTTATGTAACATCACGCTACCATCCTTAGGAGAAGGGTAGTGTAAAACTGTGGACAACGATTAGAAATTATGGAAAATTCCGCAGTTTCGTTAAGTAACATATAATAAAATAATCTAAAATAAATTATTTACTAAAAATTTTACACGTTATGAAGTTTCATATTTTAAAAATTACAGAGAAGAAATTGAATAAGTTCCAAAATAATAAAACATATATATATATATATATATATATATATATATATGTATTTAGTATGTAGTATGGTCAATAATTTTACCTTACGTCTCCAGGCCAACCCCCAGTGCGCTACAGCATCGTCTCCGGGGATCCAGATCATCGTTTTACTATTGAGCCGCTCTCCGGGTCTATTAGAACTGCTGGACTGCTGGACCGTGAAACCACTGCTTCATATCTACTCAATGTCAGAGCTGCCAATGGAAATCCCTCGAGTTTTGATCAAACACAGGTACAGTATATTTCAGATATTTTCTTACATTCGAATATATTTTCATCTAGAGTACTTTTTTCTAGAAGAACCTATCGGTCTTCTGGCCCTGTCAATGTAAATACAAAATTTCACAATGATTGGATGAACGGTACGACAGCTTATGAAATACGAACAAACAATATAATATTGACTTTTACGTTTGAGGAGAAAATTAAGAGTAAAACATTGACAGCGTAACCGTAATATTACCGGTTTTTATCGTATTCATTTGGTCTCATAGCAAAATCTTTGTTTAATATAAACTATTGGACGATACTCGTTCAAGGCGAAATAGTGTTAGCTTTGATTCCCTATCAGTTAAAATTTTCGTATTTATAAAATATAACCATCTACTTTGATCTGGGTTTTTACGAAAAGGAAAACTGTCTAAGTATCTCTCTATTCATGTTCTAACACCCACAGTAAAATCTACACTTAGTTTAATAGATAGTGTTGTTATGTTTACTAAAATATTATTATTAATAAAAATATAAAGTAACGACACCATATGTATAGTAAACAATTATTATTATCTACCTCTATAGGTCCAAATCACCCTAGAAGATGTCAACGACAATACACCAGAATTTGGTACATCATCAGTACGAGTCTCAGTAGCAGAATCGGCTCCCATCGGTTCTATAGTTTACGCTGCAAAGGCAACTGATGAAGACTATGGAAAAAACGGTCAAATCAGTTATCATTTAATATCAAGCACAGGACCCGCTAATACATTTGCAGTGAATCATCAACATGGACTAGTCACATTATTGAGGTAAAAATACAAATAAATTATTGTGTTTCTCTTATATTTGGTTAAAATTATATGCAACTTTTGAAAACAATGCACAGGAACAAGGATTAAAAGTATGTCTTACCCAGAAGTAAGATGATTACGTTGTGACAATAATGTTTAAGCGAAGCAAGAATAGTTTTTGATGTTCTGAGCCTTTGACAACAATTTATAAAGCGAAGTTAATAATGTTACGTGCATTAAAGGCCTGGGCATAAAGACGAAACTTTCATAAGTTTTATGTAAATCACCTATTGTAGCAGCACAATAGGTATTTGAAGCCAAAAGGCACATTATAGACTTTAGCAAAACAATAAAATATTTTTTCTCTTTTAGGTCTCTTGACTACGAGAATCTCGTTCGACATACACTCATCATTTCAGCTAAGGACAACGGTATACCCTCGTTAAGTGCAAACTTAACTTTGGTTGTAGATGTTCAAGATGTCAATGACAATTCGCCAATATTTGAACATGATTCGTATAGTGCGAATGTCGTTGAATCTGAAACTGTTAATGCTAAGGTAAGAAATTTATAATAAAATAAAAAATACGAGCAATTAAACTCTAATGTTGAAACCTATTTCGGGATTTATATTTTATTGAAATTACTAGTATTGTGCCACGGTTCGTAGTGATATTACTATTCTAATTAAATGGAAGTATTTTTATTATTATAAAAAATAAATTACGTACTGCTGTTAATATTTGACTGATAATTCACTTATCTGGCGATGTTATACATAACGTTACTTCTTACAGATCCTTGAAATTCAAGCTATAGACAAAGACACAGGTAACAACGCACGTATTACATACAAGATTGCACAAGAATCCACAAATATAACTGAAGATTATTTTAAAGTACAACCCAGTACTGGTTGGGTATATCTAGCTAAACAACTAGATAGAGAAACGACTGAAAAACATAAAATGGTTATAATAGCTGTCGATAACGGTATACCGCCACTTTCCGCAACAGCTAACTTAATAGTCAACGTAATAGATGCAAATGACAATGATCCAGTATTCAGCAAAACGGCGTACGAGTTCCAAGTTGAAGAAAATCAAAAAGCTGGAGCGTTGGTAGGAAAAATTGCGGCTACGGATGCGGATTTAGGTGATAATGCTGTTATCAGATACAGTCTCTTTCCGAGTAATACAAGCTTCAATGTTAATCCCATTACAGGTGAGTTTCATTTTAATATTAAAATAATATTAATACTAACAGCTAGTACATAGAAATACCCATTACAGTTAACAAAGAAAAACTTTTATTGGTATCTGTAATTTACATGCATGCTGTTGTTTTTAAAAGATTCACTGATGTTAAATGTATTGTAGAATATATTTTTATTTAGAGTTCTTTCCATTTTGATAACTTAGCTCAGGCAAATCTTACTTAGACAACTTGTAATTAAAGCTGTTTCTTGTTTTGTGAAAATCAGCATCTCTAAGCAATAGATGTAACACACGTGAAAATAATACATCAAATAACCCTCCAAATTTCATGATTACTTTTATTTTTAACTAACATTTCATTAATTACCAACTGTTTACGTTTTACAAATGCATACACTACCAATACATGATTCATTACAACATGTACATACCTAAGAATAAATCATTTTTCACCGTAATTCCAAATACTCCCCATATTTGTTCACCCAGAACTCCGATGCTAGCTGCCACTTGTCCTTTGTTTACTTTGCCGGCGCGTTTGAAAGCTAAAACCTAAAGTATGTAAGTCCCTTAAAGCTCATTGACTGAGTAAACATTTTAAATAAATAAAGCCATTTTAATACCTGAACAATTTAAAAGTAAAGGGAGCAGATTCGATGACTTTATTTGTTTTAGAGTCGATAGACGAGCGTGTTATTGTGGAGTTATTTCCTTAAATTATCTGTTTTGATTTTGTATATATGTTGTGCTAATACTCTTTAAACTAAACTTTTGATGTATTGTAACTTTGTTAAGTCACCATGACATTTGTTTTAATTGCAATATTATTTAAATTTGCTTTATGTAAATTACTCGTAGTTAGGAATTACGGCAGCTATATGATATATGTACTCATTAAATGACGATTTATCAATCTTTTTTATAATAATGGAACATAATGCAAGTTTATTTACTTAACTTTGTTGTTTATGTTATCTTCTAATAAGTAATAGCTATGATACCACACAAAATCCTAAACGAAGTACCTATGTATTTACTATAACAACAATACCGATTTTATTTTAAATAATTTTTACAAAAAACATTGAATAAAAAACGCACATCGATTACAGCAAACACGAGGCTTTTTAAAGAGCATTTAATAAGATATGTAAAACCATGATCTTAATCGGAAACGATGTTTATCGTCGAATTCGTGATAGTATTAAACATGGTATAAAAAGGGTGGTAGACACTTCGTTATTCCCAATAATTGACTGATGAATGGTAAAGCTTTTCATCTCAATTTGGCTTATCGAAGATCGTACCCGAACACTCCTGAGCTAGTTAGCGTCTGTATGAATTCTTACATACTGCACTCCTTTGCTTTTTGCCCTAATATGCTTGAAAAGATCTTCTGCTTTTAGTGTATGGACGGATAAACACGACATAAAATTTATTTTCTTAAATAAATTTAAATTACACAGGAAAGCTTCATTGAAGTATTAATACTGTGCTTGTACTGTACTGTAAAGAATTGCATTTGAATCCTTTTTGGGTGGTATTATATGACCATAGGTACTTAAAAATAAAGTAGTTAGATATTCTTGTGGGTTCGATTCCCACCCAGGACAAATATTGTGTGGTGATCACCATCGTTTGTTCTGTGTCTAGGTGTAATTTATGTAATATATAATATGTATTTAAAAATTTATAAGTAAGTTTATCAGCAGTTTGTCACCTTTACCATAGCACAGGTTCTGCCTAATTTGGGATCAGACGACCGTGTGTGAGGTTATTATTATTAAAATTGGCATCCATCAATTAAATAAATTATAGAGCTATAGCTTAGATGGTACTCTAAGAGCCTGTAGTATATCCTGTACAACTTTGTATTAATAAAATCATATAGAAAGTGATGTGTGTTCACATTAAATGCATTTTGTGGATTCACAAACACTTTTATTGGATGAGTCACCGAAGCACATTAATATATCTTTTCTGACATGGGACAAAAGTTTACGGTATCTTTTTGAGGGATATAATGAAAAGGCTTAACGTAATTTGTGAGCGGACATGAATTGATTTTATCAAGTAATTTCATTTGAGTTTTTTTTGAAATCAATAATTTCAATTTGGTTTATTTATCCAATGAGTATAATGGGTTCACATGGAGATTGAATTAGTAGGGCTGGTTTACATTTTTGAATAATGAATAAACTGTATAAACATATAAGTAAAGTTGGTACGTAAACGTTAATTATATCGATTACGTACCAACGAATGACATTAAAAATATCAATCACCGTGTAAGCCTTCATAGAGTGTATCAGGAACTTCTAATACACACAAAACACATACCTATGCTAAAGTGACAATAAAATTAACATTAAGTATACCACTACAGTTTTCAATTTTATCAATGACTCGCTTACATACTCAGCCAGTTGGTCTGCCCTTGTCTGATTGTATTAACTCTAATACATTAAATTATGGGTCCTGAATTTTAAAACATAGAATCTTGGAATTTAAGGCTTTAGGAGCACTTTTAGGGCTTTATGTAGCACGTGTCACAGGATATAATAATAATATAATATAATATAATATAATATAATATATTCTACCACATACACACAACGCCATCTAGTCCCAAACTAAGCAGAGCTTGTACTATGGGTACTAGACAACTGATATAAATACATATATACTTTTTTTTTTGTAAATACATACATATTATACATAGAAACACCCAGACCAAGTCAAACATCAAATGTTCATGCACACAAATGTTTGACTTGAGCGGGAATCGAACCCGCGACCTTTGGAATAGCAGTCCATTACACAAACCACTACGCCATCCAGTCGTTGAATAATGAATGTAAGTCATAACTATCGCAGTCAGTTAACTTAGTAATACATCTATTGATCATCTTAACGATGACTGAATAGTTGTAGGTTGAGAGATCTTGAAATTTCTGACGATTGCCATTCAATCACGATGACGTCAATTTTTATATCAAAGGTCATATCCCCGCCCGTCCGGTTCGGCCACAACAGGAGGCACCAGACAATGAATTTATGCGTGTCAATTGCGAGTTATTAACGTCGTCGCCCTCTCGAATGCGCCGTGACCCACCATTAACTATTATTAAAATATTGCTATGTAGGAGCCTTGCTATTCTCTCCCATGTTTTATTACAAGTCTTACCAGTACTAGATATTGTCGTCGACTATTTAAAGCTCGTACGTTACAAATGTACGTGTAGGACGCATAGGCCGTACAACTCGTTTCGTTGACAGATATCTTTTATTTTCATGTATGTTCTTAAATGAATTATAGGTGTAAAATGTAGCTGGAACCTTTCTGTAGACAGAGTGCTATAAATTGCAGTAATAACAAACAGGGTAGAACAAAAAAGGTAATTGTAATCGGCGATGATGCGATTGTAAATTATCTCGTTGTCTTAACAAAGTAAGGAATACGAAAGATATTTGGTGAGATAACATTTTGTAGGTACAAAGGTATTTTGCTGTTCTTTTTTGTTACTGTAAGAAAAACATAATGGCATATATTCGAGCGTATAACATTAAACTCCACCCACATTCTATTAATAAAACCTAGTCAAGAAACATTGCTATAAACTAAGAAAGGAATCTTAAATAAATTTGATATCTGATTGTAACAACGACTAGGGGACTGTCTCAAATATACATATAAGTATCAAAAGTTTTAGTTGATTCAAACAGTTTGCTTCTAATGTTTATGACTGTTACGTAGTAATATGGCCCTGTGAACTAAAAAAACAAAAACTTTTATAAGCTGAATTTGGTTTAAGAAATCACCCTTAGTTGTATGAGCATTTTACCACAGTCGGTGAAAATAAAACCTCCCAATATTTGCGGTTATAATAATGACGTATTTTTTTATCTGTTGGATTGATTTCCGTCGCTCATTAAAACAGCTTCTGGCTTATTATTCTTCTCTTGCTGTGTATCATACCAATGCCGATGTACATATATTCGATAACTTTAAGTGCCATTTGATACTCTGTTGTTGTATTTTCATTTTTTAAATTCTTTATATGGAGTATTAGGTAATTGTTGTAAGTTTCAATTATAATATCAAATTAATATTTTTAACTCTGTACTGAGTAATGGCATTCATCTTTATTGTTACAGGTGTTATAACAACCAAAGAAATCTTAGATAGAGAGTTTAAATCCTCTTACTCTTTATTTGCCGAAGCTAAAGATCAAGGGACTCTCTCCAGATCCAGCAGAGTTCCTGTTTCTATCAAAATTACCGATGTAAATGATAATCCGCCAGAAATAATTGATCCTAGAGAAGATGTGGTTAGTGTGAGGGAGGAACAACAGCCCGGCGCAGAAGTTGCCAGAGTTAAAGCTATTGATAGAGATAATGGTGTAAATTCTACTATAACTTACTCTATCTTGAATGAGAGAGATATGGACGGCTTCGGTGTTTTCGTTATCGACGCTGACACTGGTGTTATTAAAACTAGTACTGGTAAGATTTTTCATGATTTCTTTATTAAAGTTGACTGGAAGAAAATGCCTATGGCATTAAGTCCGCCTTATGCAATGTATTTGCAGGAAGTATAAATAAATATTCTATTGAGACATTAAAGAGTAAAAAATAAAGCATTGGAATATAATAACATATACAATAAACATATGCTATAACTTTTCGTGTGACATTGTAGGAAAAAAGCTTTTGCTTTTTCTAAGGAGAGGTCTATGTCCAGCGGTGAACTACAAATGGCTGTTAATATGATGTGATAACTTTTCTTTTGCAGTATTGGACCATGAGGAACGATCAATATACCGTCTCACAGTAGCTGCAACTGATGGAGGTACACCACCTAAGAAAACAGTGAGGCAACTGAAAGTCGAAGTATTAGATTTAAACGACAATAGACCAACATTTACTAGTTCCAGCTTATCCTTTAAAGTAAGTCCTATAGAAAGTCACACCTATGATCAGAGAACCTTTTTAAGAATTTCAATATAAGCTAAAATAATGAAAGAGGTTTATTTTAGTTTCAGTATTCGTTTAAATATATTTTTATTTCATACATTTTTTCAGGTAAAAGAAGATTCCAAAATCGGCCATGTTGTGGGAACAGTAGCATGTTGTGTTAGTGACATTACAGAAAACTCAGTCAACGATAATGATGAAAAGCAAATATCATATCTTCTAATGCCCCTCACAACGGACCATGCACCTGGGACTTTCGAAATAGATCGGCGTACAGGTTCTTTGGTAGTTGCTAGACAACTAGATAGAGAAATACAAGATGAGTATCGCCTTGAAGTAAGAGCTTTGGACACATCCGCAACCAACAATCCTCAAAGCAGTGCTGTGACAGTAAAGATTGAAATAATAGATGTCAATGACAATGCACCTCAGTGGACTCAAGATCCTATAAATATAGAAATATCAGAACTCACGCCTGTTGGTACGATAGCCTACAATTTTACAGCAAAAGATGCTGATTCAGGATCTAATGGAGATCTCAATTTTCACATAGTGTCATCCTTGCCTAGTGCTAAAAATGTATTCAGTTTAGATCCACTTACTGGTTCTCTTACCTTAACCTCTGGTCTTGATTATGAAACATTAAAAGAGTATTGGCTAGTCATAGAAGCAACAGACCTGGCACCAAATGTGACGGAGAGAATGGCAACATCAGCAACTGTACATATTTCTGTTACTGATGAAAATGACAATACTCCTAACTTCGTATCAGCTCCTAAAGCTATTGTTTCTCTTAATACTTTATCCGGACTTCTTTATCAATCACTGGCAGTAGATGCTGATTCAGGTGATAATGGAAGAATATCTTATTACATATCTGGTGGTAATGATCATGGTTATTTTTCAATGGATTATGATATTGGAAAATTGACACTATCAAATAAATATTCGCAAGATGTATCCAAAATTCGACCTGGACAATACAAATTGAATCTCACTGCTTCTGACCATGGAACGCCGTTTCCGAGACAGGCTCATATGACTTTGAATTTAATATTACAAGAATCAACAAATATTCCTCCAAGGTTTACGGATTCTTTCTATAGAACAAATATCAGTGAAGATATTAGACCAGGTAGCTTTGTGACAAGGTTGTCTGCTAAATCATCAAGAGGGAATGCAAGTAAGTATTTCTATTGAAACCTCATCAAGTTTTCATCATATTTATTTTATTACGTCCTCCGTCCATACTCACGTTTATCAGGTCTGTGTAATTGGCTATTCAACATTTCTAAGATAATAAAATACTTTATATAAATGTATCTTCTCATTGGCTGTACCCTAAGATAGTAAAGTTAAAAGAATTTATTATTGTTACAGGTAATTTAACGTACATGATTCCTTCTGGAGTAGCTGATGACAAATTTGCAATAGACGAACGCCTTGGAACAATTACAGTGAAAACTAAAATCGACAGAGAAGAGAGAAATCAATATACGTTCCCCGTTTACGTCACAGATTCTAGTACCTTCCAATCAACCAGTAATTTTGACGTTACTACTGTCACAATTAGTATAATGGATGTAAATGATAACCCACCAAGTTTTAAAACTGGATCATGTTATCCTCTAGCTATACCAGAAAATAATGATCCCGAAGTAATACACACTGTAGCCGCTAGTGATAAAGATATAGGAGCTAATGGTGTTATTACTTACAGTATTACATCAGGAAATAACGGGAATAAATTCTCTATAGACTCCACAACAGGAAAATTAACTGCTAGAACATTAGATCGTGAAACACAGTCAAAATATCATTTAACTATAACAGCTTTTGATCATGGATCTCCAGTAGCGTTGCAAGGGTCTTGTAATATAACAATCATAGTTGAAGATCAAAATGATAATGATCCAGTTTTTGATACTGGCCACTACTCTGCTGCTATCCCAGAAGATGCAATGGTTGACACGTCAGTTATTAAAGTAAGAGCAACAGATGCAGATTTGGGTTTTAATAAAAGAATTGTATATTCACTAGCGAATGAAAGTCAAGGATTGTTTAGGATTGACAATAAAACTGGGATAATTTTTACCACTGGGTAAGTAGTTTTGATGTTTTTGTAATTTTTTTTTTGCCAAATTATTGATTACCGGTGCCATTGAATACTGTCGTTAAATATATGCTATCTCTGTGACGATCTTATAACCTATGTGACCCACATAAAATAAAATTATTTCGTATTATGGCTTACATGTATAATTATGGTTAATTAAGTCAAGTTAAAACTGTACCGAGATAGAATATTAAAAATGTGAAATCTTGTATTAATATTAACTTAATGTTTTTTTTCAGTACATTTGATAGAGAAAAAACTAATATTTACCATTTTGAAGCGGTAGCAACAGATGAGGGACGATATATAACTCGTTCCCAAAGAGTTTCAGTCGAAGTTACTATCAACGATGTCAACGATAATAAACCAATCTTCACTAAGTACCCTTTCAAAGAACAAATAGCGACACTTACACCGCCGGGTCAAAGCTTGTTACGGGTTTCAGCTACTGATAATGATATTGGAACCAACGCAGAAATAATTTACGAACTTTTAGATACATCCAATCACAAGTTCCGTATTAACCCAACAACAGGCGTTCTAACAGCAACACAAAGCTTAGCAAGTGAAAATGGAAAGCTAATTCACTTGAAAATAATAGCAAAAGACAAAGGAAATCCTCCTCAAAGTTCTATAGGCCTCATAGAAATACGTGTGGGTGACTTTTCCGATCAAATACCTACGTTGAACTTTCAAAATTCAACATACAACGTTACTATTGAAGAAAATATGTCATATGGAAAGGATGTACTTCAAGTGACTGCAGTCCGAAGCGATGGGCGGCGACAGAGAATAATTTATGAAATTGGCAACGGCAACGATCAGTATGCATTCGAAATCGACTCTAACTCCGGAATAATAAGGGTGAATAACTCCGCCAATCTTGACTATGAGTCGTATCCGGGCCCGCGAAGGCAGCTTGTTGTAGTCGCACGCACAGAAGGATTGCCTGTTATATACGGCTACTGCGACGTTATAATAAATCTAATCGATCAGAACGACCATGCTCCCAGGTTTACGCAACAACAATACATTGCGAATGTCCTTGAGGGGAATACTAAGGGCGAATTCGTCGTGCAACTCGCCGCTAAGGATGGCGATCGTGGTGTAAATGCGCGAATACTTTACCACATAGTAGACGGAAATCATGATAATGCATTCATTATTGAACCTGCTTTCTCCGGATCGGTTAAGACAAACATTGTTCTTGATCGGGAGATAAGGGAGGCATACAAACTAACGGTGATAGCTACGGATGAAGGTGATCCACAAATGACAGGAACAGCCACGCTTAGGATTAATGTCGTGGATGTGAATGACAATCAGCCGACATTCCCACCGCCGAATGTCATCTCCGTATCGGAAGGTACGATTTTACTTCTATACTATGTATTCGCATTCGGGTTTTAAATTGCCGCTGGTCGCCCTATCGACTTTTCGAAATAAATTGGTAAAACAAAAAGCATAGCATGGAGAGGGAGGCATTTTACATAATTTGTATTCTCGACTCAGTAACATTGCAACTTTCGATTCCGACACTGAGATTAAATAAAAGGAACTCCTTTAGGATCAATATTTATTGGACGGTATTACATTTTTTCTGAGTGCATGTTTTAGCGGTTCACCGACGGTCCTTGGCGTCTGTCTCTTTTTTGTTTGATTTTTATATCATTGTGATTCAAAAGAGGTTTTGTTTTAGAGAAAGTTTATTTTGGGGTATCGTTAAAACGGCAGTTAAGCGAGCCTTGTTAATACAGTTTGTTTTTTTTAGGAACGGAAGTTGGAACTGTTCTCACATCTGTTACTGCAAACGACGTCGATACGTATCCGGCTTTGAAATACTCAATAATGCAGGGGGACAATAGTTTTTCTATAGACCGATATAGCGGAAAGATTGTTTTAAATATACCCCTTGATTTCGAAACAAAGAAGATTTACGAAGTAAATGTGACTGCGTCAGACAGTGAACACGTAGCCCAAACTACCTTAACGATAAAAATTACAGACGTAAATGATAATTCGCCAATATTTGAGGACATCTCCTACAACAGGATACTGCCTGGTAAGAACATAAATATCTTTAGTACCTTTATTTATACATAGCATCACTTTGATTTGTAATAATCTCAGTCATTCGTAAGTTTGTGGGCATTCGTACCCGTAGAAACTACGTATAAAATATTTCCATATAAAACTACATAGTATTATATACCTATACTTTTATCTCTTACAGAAGGCACAGATACCCTAGAAATTGGATCCGTGAGCGCAAAAGATGAAGATGATGGAGACAACGGCAAGATAACTTATTCGATTCTTCGCCCAACCAATGGGTATTATATTGACGCAACATCTGGAGCCATATTTGTGAATTACAGTGCTTTACCACCGAATCAGAGGGACACACAATTAGCAGTAGTAGCCACTGATCACGGAAAACCTAATAGGAGTGCTGTGGCTTCTGTAAGGATCAGCACGGGAGCATCCTCGGAGATCAAACCATTCATCGGGCAAGATAGTTACAGGTGAATATTTTTATTTTTTTAAGTATTCGTTGTTGTCAGTACTGCTTAGGTAGATAGGCCGCTGTCTAGTGCTTTGTTTTATTTATTTTACTGTAAACGTACGCTACGAACGCGACGCCATTAGTACATTGTTATTGTAATGTATCCAGATGAGATCTGCGCTTCAGTTTAAATTATGTCACCCGTAAACGAGGTTCCCACACGTTGCTGGACAATATTCTATTTTTTCTAACACTTTATATATTTTTGAAATGTTAATCGCGTATAAATCAACTTTCAAATATGTTTAAGGCTCATCTAGTGGTTAACTTACTTATCAGTTTTATGAAATTGAATAGTGTAATTTCAATTTTACAATAATTAAATGAAAATAGCTCCAATATTCTATTCTTCTAATTATTATAGTCCGTGTAGTGACGGATTAAGAATACGGAATGTCACTACCCCAATTCATCCAGTGGGTGTCGTAAGAGCCGACTAAGGGCGCAAAACAACGCAGGACACCAGTACTGCAAAAAGAAGGAAAACTTGACACAAACCCTTTTTTTTTTTTTTTTTTAACGTGTGGAAATCCCCTCGGACCGTCACCCCTCCGGGGTTTGCGGCGGGGTGGTGTGTCGGACTCGGACCGACTAAAACCACACGGTGTGCCACTCTGCGCCTGTAACAGGAGGGATCCGGGAACAGCTGTTGTTAAGACATCCGGACCCCTCCTAGCGCCAGCCCGCTCCTGGTGCGGGCTCCGTCTCAATACATTTTCCTCTCTTTAGGCGACGTCCGGCACACGCGGACGCCGCCCCCTCGCGGCTGGCCAACTAATGCGGGTGGAGGGGAAACCCACCCCGTCCACCCGCGGCCACACTCAGGGCGGCATGCGGCTGTGGTAGGCGGGCCTCCGCCGCCCGGTTCGCCGGCGGCGGATCGGGTCCGAGTGGAGGTCGTCCTCCCGGGCCCTCTCCGCCGCCTCCTTCCGCGAGATTACTACCTCGCAGAAGGTTGCGACCGCGGTAAAACAACTGTCGCTACCGGCCATGGAGCGTACTACGGCCGGCAGCGAGAGATCCACTCCGATGACTGCAGTGAGGGCCCGGCGCTGCGCCGCCCATGCGGGGCAGACCGCCAGCGTGTGCTGGGCCGAGTCCTCACTGCAGTCGCAGTGGTGGCAGGCGGGACTCAGTTCCCTCCTAGCGACCGTGTGCAGGTACTTTCCGAAGCAACCATGCCCGGAAAGCACCTGCGTCAGCCGGAAGGAAAGGGTCCCGTGCTGCCGCCCTGCCCACTCGGCGATGACCGGCTGGAGAGCCTCCACGGCGGCGAAGCCAGCGCGTGGAGTCTCCAGCCGGAACGACCAACGAGCCATCGTGGCTCGGCGAGCGGCTTCGCGCCACTCGCGCACATCCTCGGGCGGAGGGCGAAATCCGCTCTCCGCCCGGAAGTCAGCCACTCGCCGATAAACTTCGGTGAGCACTTCCGCCTCCAAATCCCACGGGGGAGTTCCGGCCAATGCGCACGCCACCTCCGTCGAAACGGTGCGGTAACCGCGTATGGCTCTGACCGCCATTACCCTCTGAGGGCGCCAGAGGCGTACCCTATTCTGGGCGGTCAGAGCCGCCGCCCACACCGGTGCACCGTACAGTGCCATTGACCGGACAACCCCCGTGTACAGCCGTCTTGTCGCGACGCTGGGTCCACCCATATTGGGCAAAAGTCGCCCTAGGGCAGGACGCAGCGCCGACCAGCTTTGGAGCAAGCTGTCGGAAGTGCTCGTCGAAGAGCCACCTCCCGTCGAGGATCAGGCCCAGATATTTCATCTGGGCCCGAACCGGTACGAGGACCGAGTTGACCACTATTGAGGCGCCAGGGGGTGGACCACGACGGGGCCCATGGAATAACAGGGCCTCCGTCTTATCTAGGGCCACCCGTAAGCCCAGCGCCTCAATGCGCCCGACCACCAGGGAGACTCCCCCTGTGGCCAGGCCGCGCCGCCTCTTGGAAGTTTGCCCCCCGGGCTGTCACGAGGGTATCGTCTGCGTAACAGATTACACCCAGCCCGGGGGGGAAATCGGCGCGAAGGGCCCAGTCGTACCCTATGTTCCACAAGAGGGGTCCAAGAACAGACCCCTGTGGAACACCGCACGACATGGGCCGACACCCCAGATTACCTTCTCGGTCCTCGTACACGACGGTACGCTCCTCTAAATAGTCTGCCACCAGCCGCCTCAGGTACTTTGGCACCCCATGATAGTGGAGTGCTTCCCCTGATGCAGCTGAATGGCAGACTATTGAATGCGTTGGCGATGTCTAATGACACCGCCAACAGCACGCCGCCACAGCTCACGGCCTCTTCGGTCACGGCCCTCAGGCGCACACGGCGTCGACTGTCGAACGTCCCCGTCCCGAAAACCAAATTGGGCGTCCGACAGATCGGGGCCCCACCTCGCAGAGGTGCCGGACGATGCGGGCAGAAAGAACCCTCTCAAACAATTTGCCCGCCTCGTTCCAGCAGCACGATGGGCCTATAGGCCGCGACCGAATCGGCAGGCCGTCCCGGCTTCGTCAATAGGACCAGCTTCCCGCTCTTCCAGCACTCAGGGAAGCGTCCCGACGCCAAGCTAGCGTCGAACACCTCCCCGAGGCGGTCTGCCATGTGGTTGAGGGCCAGGGCCAGCACTCGGGCCGGTACCCCGTCTGGCCCAGGGGCGGTGTTCTTGGAACGGATCCGTAGAACAGCCGCCCCTACCTCCGATTCCCGGACGGGCGGAACATTGTCCTCCCCGTGCTCCCCGTCGTCTCCGGCCAGGGAGGCCATCGACGGGGGGAGTGTGTTCCGCCCGTTGTGGGAAAAGGCCCTCAACCACTTCTCGCAGGAAGCTGGGCTGGAGAGTCTCCGTAAGGGGGGGGCCCGACGCGCGGAGCTTTTGTCGCACCGCGCGGTAAGGGCGACCCCAGGGGTCACGATTAAGACCCTCCAGCATCTCCTGTCTTTTTTCCTCTTTGGCGCGGCTAATGGCCAGCTTCAGAGTTTTCCGCGCCCGTCGGTACTCCTCATGAAGCCGGTCCTCCTCACCGTCTCCACGGTGACGCCGCCGACTGCGCGTGTAGGACCTCCGGGCACGAAACCCTATACCAACCCGTCTGGCCAGCGTGGTATAGTAGGCCAAAACCTCCTTTCTAAGGAGAGGCCTATGTCCAGTAGTGGACTATTACAGGCTGTTGATGAGCTCCAATATTACAAATTATGTCGTAGCCATTACGACCCATATTCAAATATTTAATTTAAAAATGTAAAATTACACTGTGCTTTTGTGGTTTATTACTGCATTTAATTATGTACAAATATTTAAAACAGTAGTAAAATTTTAGTAATTTATTCCATTTAATTTTCAGGATCACGGTGAACGAAAACACTGAGAAAGGATCATCGCTTCTTCAAATTGGTGGTATCAATGATGTGCTGAAGAAATACAACTTGGATATCCATATTGTATCTGGCAACGATGGAAACACATTTGATGTGACTTTTGACGGGGCTCTAGTTTTACTCAATAAATTGGATAGGGAGACTCAAGAATCGTATGTTCTAGGACTAGCAGCTGTAGAACAAGGAAAAGTATTGCCATATAACCAGAACAAAACTTCTATCACAGTATTCATTACGGTAGCGGACGCAAACGATAACTCTCCTACGTTTTCTACTAATGAATTCGAGTTGACCATCAGCGAAGACGTGAAAATTGGATACACTTTAACACAACTTACTGCCACTGATGCCGATTTGTATGGAACACCCAATGCTGCTATAACTTATAATATTACCTCAGGAAATGATGAGCAACTCTTTTTCGTGCATCCAACTACTGGCATCTTGAGTGTCAATAAAAGTCTGGATTATGATACTGGAAATACTCAATACAAGCTTGTCGTATTAGCTTGCGATGAAGGAGTGCCATCTCTTTGTAATGCAGTGTATATACATATTGGTATACTCGATGAAAATGATAATGCGCCAACTTTCCCTGTTAATGAATACTTTGAGACGATAGGAGAAAATGAAAGGGTTGGTACATCGATATTTACTGCACGAGCTACTGATTTAGATAAAGGAAGATACGGAAAACTAAACTATTCTATAGCGACCTCTACAAATAGTTATAATAGGAATGATGACTCTTGGAAAATGTTTCTTATTGATTCATCTTCGGGACTGGTGAACTCCAACGCAGTTTTTGACTATGAAATAAAAAATAAATATGAATTTGTGATAAAAGCCACAGATTTAGGAGGTAAAAGTACCACTGTAAAGGTTAGGATTGATATTGAAAGCAGAGATGAATTCTACCCTCAGTTTACTCAAAAAACTTATAAGTTCCGAGTACCGAAGTCGGGATCAATTTCTGCTGGTTATGTTATAGGACAAGCAACAGCCACAGACAGAGATAAGGGTATTGATGGCAGGATAGTTTACCAGTTATCCACATCGCATTCTTACTTCAAAATTAACAGAACGACGGGTGTAATAATATTGAAGAAAAAAGTAGACTCGGTACAAAACCTCTTCGGTTCTGATAAATCAATAAGTTTAGTAGTAACAGCTAGTTCTGGGCGACAAGGTTCATTGACAAACAAAACAGCTGTTGAAATTGGAATGGATGACCTCGCATTAGCATCAGATGTCAACCAAGTGAATGATCCTTCGGCCGTAGCAAGTGGTGGCTTATCAGATTGGGCCCTAGGATTACTCATTGTTTTTATATTCATAATAATTATATTTGCTGCAGCTTTCCTTTTCTTGCATATGAAAAATAAAAGACACAAGAAAGTTAACAAACCGGGTCTGAATTCAGAGGGCGTAGGTGCAACAAATAGTTATGTAGATCCCAGCGCTTTTGACACTATTCCTATTAGAAATACTGGAGCAGTAAATACTGGAAATCAATTCGCGCCACCAAAGTATGATGAAATCCCACCATATGGGCCACACACTGCGAGTTCGAATTCAGGAGCCGCAACGACATCTGAACTATCAGGTTCTGATCAATCGGGATCAAGTGGTAGAGGATCAGCTGAAGACGGTGAAGATGGCGAGGATGAAGAAATTAGAATGATTAATGAAGGTCCCCTACAAAGAGAGTCTGGGATTCACAGAGATGATGACAATCTTTCAGATGTATCTGTACACAATACTCAGGAATACCTAGCAAGATTAGGCATCGTTGATACCGGAACAGGCGGTGGTGCATCTACCTCATCAAGAAGATGTTCAGAAAATGTTGGAAATAAAGATACTATGCTACACCATGCGCCGATAGACTCTATGCATATGTTTGATGAAGATGGAGCTCACGAAAACGATATAACTAATCTCATATACGCCAAATTAAATGAAGTCACTGGTAGTGAAAGAGCGAGTAGTGCTGACGAAGCCAGTGCAGCTGTAGATAGAGCTATGGCCTTAGGAGCATTTCCAAATGCGCCTGGAGATAACACAGCTGTACCCACTGCGGGACCCTCAATGACAGGTAGTTTAAGTTCTATAGTGCATTCCGAAGAAGAACTAACCGGTAGTTACAACTGGGATTATCTACTAGACTGGGGACCTCAGTACCAACCATTAGCTCACGTGTTCTCTGAAATAGCTCGTCTGAAAGACGATGCCGTTTCTCTACAAAGTGGTAATAGTGGAGCATCAAGTGCAAAAAGTAAAGGCACTTCCATGTCTGGTGGTAAGAGTGTTCCTCCACCTTTATTAACTACAGTCGCCCCTCGAAGTTGTCCAGCACCATCATTGTCATGTAGGCAGCCACAACTATTATTACCAAGGTCACCAATTAGTCACGATGTTCCTGGCGGGTTTTCTGCCGCCGCAGCCATGTCGCCTTCATTCTCGCCTTCCTTATCACCATTAGCTACTAGATCGCCATCAATGTCACCACTAGTAGGCCCAGGCCTGCCTCCGGCTCCAGGGAATAGGAAACCTCCGCATTCAACTATGAGGATATGAAACCAATAGTTTATCATCGTAGAAATTGTAAATATGAACGACTGTTTTGCCTATAGTGTAGTTAGTAATATTTATTCGGCCGATGTAATCGGCTTAACTCATTTTGCGCATGTTTATTATTTAAAAGCTCTACAAATATGCTCAAAGTGATATACTAAGCGCTTATTACCGATTTTTGCGGTAAATGTATATAAAATAAAAAATCGGGTGTATTTTTAAGTGTAAATACTTTACATACTCATTGTAAAAATATATAAAGACTGCCATTTTTTATTTTTAACAAAAAAATACAGCTTTACATTAAGCTATAAGTATTATTTTAGGAACTGCAATCGTAGCGATGTTGCAAATGAAATATTGATTTTATAACATTGTAATCAAGTATTCAATCAATTTAACTGTAAGCTTTATTGCAACGGATGTAGATTATTCTCCATTTTGTAAAATTCATGTTGCAAATGTAATGTAATATTAGTTTTCAGTGAATTGAACGTTGAAGTTTCGTTTCTCTGTGATTTTAATGAAATGTCCAATTATTCAGTACAGTTTTTTGTTACTACTTTTCACTGGTTGCTTAACAAGGAACATTATAACTATTTAATCATTACTATATCATGTATTGTTTACCTATTAGATGACATTACCTAGAATATAATAATAATATTTTTATTTATTTCTCTCCTTACAAAGGTAGGTGTATAACTTATAAATACAGATCAGTCAGGCTAGGTTCATCATTGCTTTGTGAGAGACTAGTGTCTGCAGTAGGGTAAACCTGTGTTACAGATCACCAGGCTCACAGATCATCACAGGCATATTTGGAGTATGTACTAGTTTGCAGTACATGATATAAGTAGACATACAAGAGGAAAGCAATAAAAATAGAAAATCAGGAGGTGTGTGAGTGTGTGTGTGTGTGAATTTGCTTGTGTATGTATGTGTGTGTCCGTAAGTGAGTATGTGTTTGAAAATATTCTGTGTCTTCTTCTTTCTACAATCAAATTCTATTATAAATTGTTCAATAGCTGATTTTATGTCCACGTTTAATCAAAATCAACTTGTTTTTTTTAATAAATTGGATACTTTTGTAGACACCATATCCTTAGAACTCAATCAAATCAAGATCAATTTCATAACTACTAGCGTTTACTTGCTGTATCTTCCGCGTTAATGTAGAGTTTTTCAATCAAAATATCCGTCTCGTTGACTACTTTATGTATGTATGATCATTTGAGAAGTCGTGAAATCCTATCAACCAAACACATAAACATCCTTAAATATAATATTAGTTAGGATAGGTTGTATGGCCACAATATGAACAACTGTCCTATCCTATTTTAATACGATATCTTAAGCCAATTTCAAATGTCAAAATATGCAATTCCTACTGACCTTAAATATTTATTTTTCAAAATATTTCTCATTTACGTTGAGAGTTCTTATTTCGATTTATATATTGAAATTATTTTTACATTAATATTACTTACCTTTACATTATTATTATTAACATTATTAAATTTCCTTAAAAGATGCAGTGATCCCTTAATTCATGATATTTTGTCTATCAAACATACATTTTACTGAAAGCTTTTTTTTCTTAGTAGCCGTTCTTCAACATTTTGGTGTAGGCTTATTTATTTATTTCATCGCATTTTTGATCTTCCTCTGGTTCTCTTTTCACCCGAAGTCCTCTATTTCAAGACCGCTTTACTCCACAAGTCATGTGTATTCCTATCCACTGCACTATAGGAAGCACAAATGCCTAATTTTTCTTCGATAGTATCAAAAAACCTGTACTGAAGTCGTACATTATTATTGTACATATTTAGAATGTAATTAATTGTTAATATTTTATTTTTAGATTCCACCGACTGTATGAATATTGTTTAGGTGGCAATAAAAACAAAAATTGAAAATATATGTTGTTTCTTTTATTAAATTCCCAATACACTCAAATGTACTATAAAATTAAACACTAACCTCTTTTCTATTCCTAAAGAAGTAGACAGAGGCGATTGAATCGCCAATATTTAATACGTTTACAATCTCTTAAGGGTTGAAAAAGAAAAACAAATTAATAAGTTGACTGGTTGTTGGTCAATATGTTAGTGATCGCGACTGCTAAGCAACTACCTAATTGTGATGATTCTAATCATTTGTTATGTGTCTGGGAGTAATTGTATCTGTAATGTGTAGAGCACAGACAGACAGACAGTTTTTATTATCATTTCAATTTCAAGTTTGACTGCACGGATGGCGTAGTAGTTTAAGCTGTCACTTCGCCGTTTATTACTGCGCTGAGTGTTTTGGATTCGATCCCCACATAAGACAACACTTTGTATGATCCACAAACTATTGTTCTATGTCAGGGTGTTCTTTGTCGGAAAAAAAAAACGGGTGTTCTTTGTGTCCGTTTTATGTATATATGTAAAGTCCCTCGCGACATAGGCTTTATTCCTAGTGCAGGAATAGTCTTTTATTAAGAATAAGAATAAAAAAGAAAGAATTTAGACATAATATCTAGAACTATCAATATCATATCATTCTATCTGCCTTTAAGGCTATATATTATAAAACATCATGCAAGAAAATACAGAAGTGGAGCACAGACCATAAATGGAGGTGAAACTACAGGAGTGGCTAGTGTAAGAAAGGAAGTAAGTATTGTCATCAATTTAGCCATGGACGTGCAACGCTGAGGATATTGAGTTGCTTTCGTTTCTGGAAGCCTGCAAACGCTCTAGGAGTCTTCTGTGCTTCTGGAAGGATCTACGTTGACACTTACCTAGGCAACTTTACCTACACGCATAAAGGATCGTTATTGCAACTAAATGCAGAATCTGAAGCTTCTTACCAATACCAATAGGAAACTTTGAAGACTTTCTCTTCGACGGATAGATCGAGTAGTGGAGACTTATCACAAAAAATAATTATTAAAAATCATTGTTAGAAAGTGAAAGATACGTTTATTGATTATTTCACAATTGAATAATTATATTAATAATATATATACGAACTAAATATCCAAATAAGTGTATTTATAAGTGATTTTACAAAATATATCCACTCAGGAAAAGTTTTCTCCTAAGCTGTTGATTTTTTAAGGGGGTATTGTTTTCTCAAAATTTATCATCAACCCTGTACAGTTTTAATCCCTTTTACACACCCACTACTGTAACTCCTTTATACCAGGATTAACCACAGTAACCCACGAACACTCCGAGTTATGACATTCGGCAAGTCCCATTTAAAGTTAAACTGTCTTGGAAGCCATCCTGAGCGGACTTAGATAAAAGTTAAGTAAAAATATTAGTAGCACTAATAACTAGGCACTAAGGTCACTTTGAAGAACTATCTGTCATGTAAATTTTGGACAGATCAAAATGATAATAGTTCTGTGTGTATAAAAGTGTACCCTAATAAAATAAACCGTTCAAATGGAACGTTTTATTTTATTTATATATTATTATTTTATTCCATCAGACTGAAACCCCTGGTGTGATCATGAAGAACCAGTTTAAAACTGCGTAGTCATTAACGGAACACTATCATTATAATGAAAACAAGTGTCCTCGTTATAATGATGGAATTCTTCAAAAAAACGACCGAATGGCGTAGTGGTTTGTGTAACGGACTGCTATTCCAAAGGTCGCGGGTTCGATTCCCGCTCAAGTCAAGCATTTTGTGTGCATGAACATTTAATGTTTGATTTGGTCTGGGTGTTTCTATGTATAATATGTATGTATTTACAAAAAAAGTACATATATATATTTATGTCAGTTGTCTAGTACCCATAGTACAAGCTCTGCTTAGTTTGGGACTAGATGGCGTTGTGTGAATGTGGTACAATATTATTATTATTAAATCTGAATAATACACCACTTTAGTTTGGATTCAGATGATTAATATAATATGTAGTCTGAAAACAGTCAGTAAAATTTAGACAATTGGTAGCACTTGCTTTTAACCTTGAAATAAGTCAATTTTGTAAAATCACTTATAGTTTCAAAGAAATATAATTAAATAACCACAATGATAAATTAAATATTATTATCACAGTTGGAGCTAAATCTACTAATAATATTGATCACGCACTCCAGCGATCAGGATATGAAGGAAAAGTACCAAGTACCAGGAAATAGCTCATGTACAAGAATCTGTATTTATAACGACACGACTCTTTATAATAGAAATTTAATAAGATACCTAAAGGATACCGTTAGGAAAATAGTAACGCAAAATTTAAGTTACTAAGCGTTTGATTTTTTATTATTTTATTTCAAATTCAATCAATTTGCTAGATCATTAACATCATAGACAAGAAACTTTGCTGTGTAGTCAGAATATACTTTTGATTACCATGAAATAAAATACAACCATACCTCTTTGTTTGTAATTATTTGTAGTTAATAACGTGTCGCAAAAAAATACAGATTTCTGCAATTGAGGGTAGTTGCTAAACTGCTGATTAAAATTAGCAATACCGGTTTCATTTAATATCGAGATATTATTGGGCAGTAGGAAAGTATTTCATATCGTATATGTGACATATCCTAAATATAAATAATAGGTAATGTTTATGTGGTAGTTTCGTTATTATTTGAAACATATCGGCAAAATTCGCATTTAGACGTAATGTTGCTTCTGAACACAATGTGCGTCTACTTTCTAAGCATTGACATTACATTTTATCATTATTGTTTATAGTAAATAGGCGTATACACTTATGATAAATAATATAATTATATGTCCGTGAAGATAAAAAAATAGAATGAATAGTAAATTGGTTTCTAAATTTTGACTACATTATAGTGTCTATTATTGTTAATTTAGTGAATGGTGAAATTAACATATTTTTTTTAAATTATTTTTGTATTTTTTTAATGTTTCTTTGTTACTATCCCAACAATATCGATTTCCATTCTGCGTTAATTCAAATGTCATTCTACTTTTCGACTTTGGATATAAAAAATCCACAAGTTATCCAAATGTGGATCAGTATAAATACAAAATATGTACATATATAAGACAACATTATGATATTTATTATAATATTATATTTAGAATGTGATAGTATAATTTATTAGGATTGATTTTACATTATTATTAGCATAATACTTTATTAGACCCAAGTTATTATTGGTATAATCATCAAAATGGTGTTCAGTCGATATTATAAAGGCCTGGATATAAATTATATTTAAAGGCAATGCGTTTAAGGTAGACATACCAATGACAAATGATCTCAAAAGAATGTTACAAATGGTGGCTATTCTTTTCAGCACCAAGTATTTTTAAATTTATTTTAAAAATATACTCGATACTGAAAATAACTATCATGGGAGACGATTAAATATGCCTGTTTTCTTATTATTTTTTGTTGTGATTGTGATTGTGGTTGTGATTGTTTTTATACCTAAACGAAATTATAAAAAGTCTTTTATTATAATATTATAAAAATGAGTTTTTTGACACAAATTCTGAAATAATACAAACGGGAACTTTGGTTCCATTCATATTTCAAGAAAAAAGTTCACCTCTGAGGGTGAAAATTAAGCAACTAAGAAAACAATTTATTACAATTTATCATGACGAATACCCATTGAAGTCTTTCCTCTGATACCCATTATGGAATGAAATCACGGTTTCCATCTCTTTTATATCTCTACTTCGCTTATCCCTTAATATGCTTTAGATATTTTACATCGGTTTTGCTTGAATCTGAATGCAAATCATTTTTAAATTTTCAGAATTAGTTTAATTGACGATGTTTTAGTTTATATCAATGACACGATTGGACGGATCTTACGTAAATCAATTAGAGGTCGGTTTTAATTGAAAACATACATTTAATTTTGTATTTATTTGTCAATAGACCTTTTTTTTTACAATCTTTATTATTATAAACAACACTCACTGGTTTATTTATTTAATTCAAGCGTATATTTAAATGACCAAATAAATACTGTTATTACTATTAAGTATCTATATTTATTTTATTGCAATAGTCTTTGTCGTTGATATGTCTACCTTATAATTATTATCGAATAATATATTTCTAGTTCTAAATCCTAATAATACTCCACATCTAGGTATTAAACTTACTATCAGATTATTGGTATATATAATACAATCAATACTCCGAAACTACTAATCCAATTCCTAAGCGATTAACCAAAATTGTAAGGCCTTCTCTGGTGGACCCTGTCCTTCTATGCTTATATATAGCTAAAGTGAATTATATCGATATAATTTGAATTAAAGGTCTGTCTGATTTAGGCAATCCGTTCGTAACAAATTATACGTTTGAGCAAATTGTATATGACAAATTTAAAATAATAGATATCAAAACAGATTGCCAATATAACTTTACACCGAAATTGGTGAAGGTTCTGTATTGCTATGTGAATAATACATTTTTTGTAGAATCAATCTACAAATTCAACCAGTTTTTGGTACGGCACGATTTGGCATGGCAAAAGAATTTGTGATATTTTTGAGATTCGTGTTCGAATACTGCAAGTATTTAAGTAGATTAGGGGAGAGTAACCAATATTGAACCGGCGCTTTAATTTGACTACTTCTGTATTACTAGCAAAATTGCACTATTTGGTATAGTATATTGGCACAAAAAGAAGCGCTACAAAATGGCGGAGTATTGGTGGTGCTGCTAGCCTTCCTTTTTCTGTTGCTAGTGTAAAAAAAATAGTGCAATTTTGATAGAAATACAGAAGTGGTCCAATTTAAGCGCCGGTTCAATATTGGTTACTCTCCCTTATTTCGTACTTATAGTGGTTCTAAATATTATGCCTCACATCTATACTTCACATCACACAGTTATTTCAAGATCTTTGAAAGATGTCTGCACTAAGTACTTTTTGTTAGCGGTAACCGCCAGGCACAATTATCTTTTCTGATTTGATATTGTTTGTTTTGATTAGAATGAACATCAGATCTAAAATAAAAACGTATGATGTTCGTTTAATTCAAAACAAAAAAATTGTGGCAAATTTTTTAAGTTTGCTAACTAACTGTTGATAGTTTTGAATTGTATAATCACAAATTAATTTGCCTTGTGTTATACCCTTATTAGTTTACGATGACGTTTTTTTTCTCGTTGTTTTTAAAAAGTGTAACTGAGTAATTTTTTTTATGGTATAACGGGGCAAACTAGCAGACGGGTCACCTGATGGTAAGCAACTACGGCCGCCCATGGACACCTGCAACTCAAAAGTCAGAAGTGTGTTGCTCCTTGGAGTCCCTCCTGCTCGATTCAGCAGGGGGGGATTTGGGCTCCGGTAACCTCACTCACTCAAGAATTGCTTAACACCGGTTTTCTGTGAGGCCGTGGTATCACTCCGGTCGAGCCGGCCCATTCGTGCCGAAACATGGCTCTCCCACGATAATTGAATATAATTAAACTTATGTATAATAGGTTTTGCTGGTTCCTAGTTTCTAAAGCCTCAATGGCATACAGTCTCACTAAATCCTTTCATTATGATTAGAATGGTTGTGATTGTTTTGTAAATGCACATCAATGATTACTTCATCGGATCGGATGGACTTTTTGCTGGGGGTCACGATACCGATGTCTACGTCAGTGTTCGGGGTCAAGCCGTTTAGGGAGTCCTGAAATATCAAATGGTAGTTGTTGTAGCATCCGGGAATTTCTGTATAAAAATAATTATGTCCTGGCTTACTTTGAGAGAATTCAACAGTTCCAAAATATGTCCATTAGGTCTAGTCGTAAAATATATTACTGAAATACCAGCTCAAGTTTTAAAAAAAAATATTTTATAAAATCACGCAAGATGATGGAAAAAAATTAGAAGTGGAAAAGATTTTTAAATTTTCACCAAACTTAGCTTGCATACTATCGCTTATAATATTTGGAGGTGTAAAAAACTAGAGTAGAGATAGAGAAAGAAAGAAAAGACACATACCGCAGTGAGCGCTTCGCAAGCCATGAGCTCGTTCTTGGACAAGTGTTCGACCACCGCCGCCGCGTAGCAGTCGCCCAGCATGTTGTTGGTCGTTCGGATGCGGTCACTGAAATAATTCACAACTCATCCATCTTATTACTGTTTTAAAATCGAAAATTTGAATGGGGTACTCAATTCAGAAGGGCTAAATAGATCTAAATGAAATTTGGCGCAGAAACAATTGTAGTCTTAAACAGCAGGTAGGCTAATTTTTATTAGCGAAAAATAATAATTGAGAAAATTGATATTAACGTGAATAAAGCCAGGGCAAAACTACCTATAGATATGAAACACGAAGAAAATACAAGACAAAAAAAATTGTGTCACGCAATGACATGTGCAAAAACATGACAAATAGATTAATTATTTGATTAATAATTATTATTTACATTCGCTTTTATAATACGAGTAGGTACTTAGTCTTTACATGGTAGTTCGATTTCCTCCATATTTTTTTTAAATTTTGGATATCTGTCTTTGATTATTATATCGTAATTTTTCTTTTATATGCTTCCTCCAGCATGAAAAACTCATAAATAAAAAAAAAGAAATGTCATTTTGGAGCAGACAAATTGTGATTGACAATTACTGATTACAATTAACATATTATAGCATTTTGCAAGAGCAAAAGCTGACAAGAATATTTGTTTTGACCAATGAGCGCTGATGAGGGAAGTCGACGACTTCTTTTCACGAAATTACTCCCAAAGATTGCAGGAAAGCAAGATTAAAGGTTTTACACACCAAGAAAACCATATACATCCTTGGCAATATATTGCATATTCTTTAAAATTGTTGACTTACACAAGCCAGTCCACAGCAAACAGTAGTGACACATCATGAGTAGGAGCATCCACGGCCGCCAATACCACTAGCAGTAACACCATTGCTGCTGATGGAACAGATGCTGATGATACGGATGCAGCTGTTGAAGTTAGACTGAAATTTGCAGTAAAAAATATTTGTGTAATATCTTGATTCCATTACTATCTATAATAATAACTTGTGTTGCCGCCATCTATCACGCAATGGACAAAAATAGGTCTAAATTATGATCTCAATTACGTAATAGGGTACATTCTTATTGCCTTGAACATACTGATGCTCTTTGAGGAATTTGAGATGAGGAAATTGACAGTATTTAGAAAGAATAAGAATACAGAAAGGACTAAGAATACAGAGTGTCACCACCCCTATTCATTCCGTGGGTGCCGTAAAAGGCGACTAAGGGAGCAAACTATGTAGGACAACAGCACTGCAGAGAGAAGGAAAACTTGCCACAAACCCTATACCAACCCGTCTGGCCAGCGTGGTATAGTAGGCCAAAACCTCCTTTCTAAGGAGAGGCCTATGTCCAGCAGTGGACTATTAAAGGGTGTTGATGAGAAAGGAAAAGGTAATCAACGGAAAGAGCCTATAATCGGGGAGTTCGAACCCTCAAAACATTAAAAATAATGTATAGTTTATAGGTAGACTTGAATACTTACAATATAGTAGCTAGTTGAGCGAACCCAAGGGGCAAGTTGTTCATTTGACAGACGAAAACACTGGCCACAGCTATGAAGAGAGCAGTTCCGTCCATGTTGATATTGCAGCCAATTGGCAGAACAAATCGAGTGATGCGAGGGTTGATCTGGAGAGGTCCTTCCATTGCTCGGAAGGTCACCGGTAGAGCTGCTGCACTGAAATATACATAATATACTTGTATACACTAGGATAAGTCCAAGGCCAAATCAGTAAACATTGTGCTGTATAATGCCCGGGCAATACGAATAGTGACTATAATTCTCTAAAGAGATTAGAGAGTTGACTAGCTGAACATTTTGTAGCCTCAGGAAACAATTTAGGTTTTCGTCTTTCAAAAGATGCTAGTTCGCGTTATCAATTACTTTTTTTTAAACGAACATTACCCAATATTCCATCTACAATGTTTGTAACGAATCAATTTGTAAGTTTAATCCTTACCTTACAAAAAATCAAATCCATTTTTGTCAGTATTAAAATATATGGGGTCTACCAATAAGAACGTCCTGGTTTAAAAATTGAATAAAACACACATTTTTTTTATGAAAAATGCATCCGATGGATTTATTTGATAGATAATTTTACTAATGGCAAACCTTACCCTGAACACAAATGTCAAGAGACGTCAAAGATCCATCATCAAACATGGCCGCTATGAGCTGTCAAAACCAGGTCATCCCTATTGGTAGACCCAGTGTTCTGTATTTTAAAGCCCGTTCTTTTATACATCACTACTTTATATTTTGACTAGGTAAGACCCTCGATTATATCCTAAGTGAAGCTTCCCTTGTATCTAAGAACTTACGTGGAAGCTGTTGCTGATGCAGTCAGCATAGCGTGTGAGAGACCCCAATAAAACTTGTAAGGGTTCCGCCGTAAGAACATGAAGTATATGAGCTGCATTATAACTAGCTGATAGAAGAACACACCGACGGCAACTGTTGCTATGAACCATGCCAGTTGTGACATTACTTGAGCTGGAAAACAAATGGAGACACATATATACAATATTAATTAACTCATTACTATAATAGATGCGAATGTTTGAATAGATTATTGTTATTCAGTAATACTAGTACGGCTCTATCGCATCAGCCTATCGCATCATCACCACTGCTGGACATAGGCCTCTCCCATTGCACGCCACTTAGATCGATTTTGTGCTTCTCGCATGCAGCTCCTGCCAGCTATCTGGAGCAAATCGTCACTCCACCTGGCCTGTGGGCGTCCTACACTACGTTTGCCCACAGGACAACCAAATTGCAACAAGTTAGGTGTTTTGGAAATTAACTTGGAATCTAATTAAAAAGGAACAGTAAATTGCCGAAAAAATCGATCTCTGGTCTAAACGTTATTACATAGTAGCAGTGTTATAAATATATATAAGAGTTGCCAATAAAACAATTGAAACCATAAAGTTAATCATCAAACTTTTTAATTAACCTTCAAAGTCGTTTTAAGTAAGTTTAATTTAAAGATTTACTAAGTCATTCAACATTACACAGGACTAATTTAGTGGCAGTTTATATGGTTTGAACTTAGACCTCTCTATAGCAACAATCATCACATGTATGCCCATAATGACAACAATTAATTGCCATCAGGATTAACTGATAGATGTAAGGAACCGACTTCGTGGTATTTTAGATCACGACTACACGTGGTTTATATAAATTGAATTGCGTCACACTGTATTCAAACTTATAACTATAGTTTTATGAATTACCTAGTGGACAGATGAACGAACGGGTCTCCTAAAAGTAAATGGCTACTGCTTTGATACTGTTACGAGCAGGATATCGGATTAATTAAAGTTGTTACTTTTATTGCACTGTATTTACAAACACTCACTATTACAAACAAGAAATCACTATATTTTATTTTATTTTATTATATTTGGGGAGCTTACGGCTAAATTTACAAAACACATATTATGTTAATTATCTAGATGCCATTTACAAGCTTCCACATGTAGACAGAAGACAGTGCTGGTATCTATAATAATACATACTAAATACGACTTACACATACATAGATAGTTACAACAGTATGACTCGTTAGTCGCGCTAGAAATTCGCTTCGATGTTAATTCGCACGCTCCGCTTTTACAGTGCTATCAAAATTACTAGACTAATTCCGAAAATCCGATGGAATATTCCAGACCGAACCACGTACAATAAAGTATCTACAAAATTCTATAATCCTCCGATATTTGAGACTAGATGGCACTGTAAGTAAGTATCGAATTTAAGAACCATAATCTCAATGCGTAGCGTTGTGTGCCACTTGATTCTAGATGGCGCTAAAATAAATACGTTATATAAAAAATAAGACATTAATGTATAGTTAGTAATTTGCAAAATTTCTTGGAGGCGAAATATTTAAGTAAGTTTATAAATAATAAAACTAAATATCGCACACGCGTATAAAGTACAATAATTGAAATAAGTACTTTGTAGCTGCATAATAGATTTAATATGACTAAATACGTAGTTAATCCACTAAATAAAAATTATAATAAAATAATAACTTTTTAGTTTTAAGCTTGAAAATATATTTTTTTACTCACAATTTCTTTATAAGTTTTTTAAACAATTTACGATTTAATTTTATCTGATCCTCTTTAAAATAGCCTCTTTAAAATAGATTATAGTATGAATTTTATTACAATTGAACTTACCGACATCGTTAACGTCCAAAATCTTGCCAGCAATGACACTGCTAACTCCCAAAGGCGTGAACCACATGACACCAGTCACCATTTTCATGATGACCTCAAAGATTGCTTGAAAAAAGTCTATCACAACTTGACCCTTAGCACCTAATGTACCAAGTAGACTTCCAAATACTAGACAGAAGAATACTAGTCCTAATGTATTGGTACCGGACCTGAAAAATTAACCGGATCGTTTTATTGCATACTAGCTGACCCGCGCAACTTCGTCTGCGTCTCTCAATAGTAATAAATTTTCTCTGTTTTTGAAACATTCTTCATTGGTGCTCTGCTCCTATTGGTCTTAGGGTGATGATATATAGCCTATAGCCTTCCTCGATAAATGGGCTATCTAACACTGAAAGATTTGTTTAAATCGGACCAGTAGTTCCTGAGATTAGCGCGTTCAAACAAACAAACAAACTCTCAGCTTTATAATATTAGTATAGATTAAAGAAATAGTGGCAAGGTACAGTTCTGGAGACTCACTTTAGATTTCATCTTGGAAGGAAGTGCACTAGGTCTCGCTCGGTAAACAAATGTCAACCATAAATTCAATACCTTATAATATACTAGTTGTCTGCTGTACCCTGCTACGCTTCGGTGTGGCACATTGAAATTGCATTGATGCAAAATAGATAATAACAATCCTTGAAGTGGTTTGTATATCTTGTCAAAAACAACATCGCCATCGATACAACGCCATCTAGTCCCAAACTAAGCAGAGCTTGTACTTTGGGTACTAGACAACTGATATAAATACATATATACTTTTTTTTGTAAATACATACATATTATACATAGAAACGCACAAATCAAATCAAACATTACAAGTTTATGCACACAAATGTTTAACTTGAGCGGAAGTCGAACCCGCGACCTTTGGAATAGCAGTTCTTTACACGAACCACTACGCCATTCGGTCGTCAACATATATAGTTGTAAACATATATAGATATACTCACCTATAAGCTACAACTCGTACCAAAGTAGGCAATGTATCATTCTCAGAAGCATTCTTCGCAAACATTGGCATTTGTTCGGTATATACGGTATGCGCCTGCTGGAATGCAGCCTGCACTATGTTGTCTGGAAATAGATTTCTGTAAGAAAACAGTAATTTGTTTTAAATCTTGAATTCATTGCTCACTTAATTAGTGGTGTCAGACTACGAATATATTATAATCTTAGTAAAAGACGGGTTAGTTAAACCATTTATAACTCAAGAACGGGTGGACAGATTTTTATGATGATAGTTTTGTTGTTGTTGAAATATTTTAGAAGTTCACGAAAAAAATTAGTAAGGAAATGTATATGATCATTCATTGTGTATGTAAACTAAAGCGAATGAAAAGATCTGTGATTAAAACGCAGGTGAAATTTCAATTTAGATTAGACATTTTGCGAGTTATGCGACAGTGTGAATGAGGCATTGGCATTTAATCTAATAAGGTCAGAGTAAATTTGTCACTTAACAAGTAATCAGTAACATTTTTGTATCGGAATAACTAAGGTTTATTTATTTATTTTCAGATCAATTAGAAGGGCTGTTAGTTTAAAATAATAACTAACAAAATAAAACAGCTAGCTAAACTACTGATTGACACTTCTCGTGATCAGAAGGCTGGTCTTTTTCTAGCACAGAGAATTAGCATTGCCATTCAACGTGGCAATGCTGCCAGTCTTCTGGGAACGCTACCAGTAGGCGATGATGCGGAGGAATTTTTTGATGCTTGTATGTAGATAGTGTTAATGTTGTAAATATTCTAACTTAATTTTATTTAATTTTCACTTTCTTGCACCTTTTATTAGCTTTACAAAATAAAATAATATATTAAATTAACTAAGTAGGTAATATAAAAATCATTAACTTTATTGATTCGATAAACTCGACTACGGTTTTGCACCTTTCAGAGTAACCTGTGTATAAAAAATATAGCCGCAAATACTTCAATTTGTGCATTTCGTGTCCTGAACAATTTATTTAATAAAAATTATTGTAAATAAAACCATTTCTATTACCATAGACTGGGTACTTAAGAATGAGAAAATTGAGAGTAGGAATAGTGAATGGGATATTTGACTGCCTCGGTGGTACAGTGGTGGCGTATGCGACTGCCGTACTGAGGTCTCGGGTTCGACTCCCGGTCGGATCTAATGTTTGTAAGATCTGCAAATATTTATTTCGGAGTTTGGGTGAATTCTATGTATAATATGTATGTATTTACAAAAAAAAAGAAGTATGTAAGTATTCTATCAATCAATCTAGCTTTCATAGTATAAGCTCTGCTTAGATTGAAACTAGCTGGCGTTGTGTGATGTCACAATTATTATTGTTATAAGAAAAATATTCATTTAGTTTTCAAATCATTTTCCGCAATTTATTTGTCTGTAAGGTAAAAGTAAAATCAATCTATAAGTAAGTAGCTTCTTTTATACTTTTCCTTCTAATATGGATGATCTAAAAATATAGGAAATAAAAAAACAATCAAATTAAGGTTCTTTTTATAGTGGTTAAGTAAAACGTACCGTCCAATATCTAATACACTGTCCAGTATGCTGTGATCTCTTTTGTTTTCCACAGTTGGGCCGTAATCCTCTCTCATTTCTGGCTTCCCAGGATGTATCAACATAGCCACTACTATCCCGAGAAAGGCGTTAAACATAGATGTAAGAATAAAATATAGCAGAGTCCTCACAGCGATTTTACCGCTCATTTTAGCATTTAAACTTGCTGATCCTGCGATGAGACTAGCTATGATCAAAGGCAATATCATTAGCTTTAGAAGTCTCATGAACAGTTCTCCAGGATAGGATATTACTACTAATGCATCTGGACCTAAATGGTATGGTCGGAGACCGAGACCTGAAAGAGAAAAGAAAAATATAAAAAAAAATACTACTTAGAGTTTATTTTTACAGAGTGTACAGTTTATGATTATAATCAGTTGTCTGTTTACAATTGCAACACCAAGAGTATCATTCATACGTTGCTGGCTTTCGGGGCACCTCTGAAATATTTAAGAAAGCCAAGCAAGAAATTACCTCAAAATTAATATAAAATCTTGGCCACTAACGCTCGACTACACACAAACTGAAAACTTGGTATGAGCAATGAGCATGCCCACACACACAGAGACACACACACACAGATACACCTAACTGTATTCTTATATATTATTATTAGCCCAAGTTTAACTTGCTGGAGGTAGTTACTATCAAATAAAGTAGAAGAATACTGTCCTGGTGTTTAAGTGTCAGGATAAAAATTTGATGTGGAATTAAGTGGTTCAAATAGCTGCTAAGAATGCTGTTCATTAAAAAAGGAAGCAGAACCTTTGAATAGAGAAGGTTTTACACCAATCGTGGGATTTGTAACAACAACGAGCTGTTTTTAGTACTTAAGAAAAGTGGATGTACGAATGAATATTTCTCTCGTATGAATATATCTTTTTGTTAAGCTGACCAACCATAATGGTTAGCAAACATAGGACTTGAAACAAGTATCTAGTGTTCTGAACGATATTTAAGATCGTGACAAAGGTAATAAAATAGACTGGTGGACAATAAAATTAGGCCACCTACCCAACATGTAGTCGTGACTGTGTTTCAAAATAAAAACTTTGTTGATTGTATGTTAAATTCTTGAATGATATAACGCATTTTTAAATTTACCAATTTTATTTTTTTAGTAATACACAAGAAATATAAAAAAATGAAGAAAAAATTACAACAAGATCACACTGATTTAGAATAGTTTCCCTGATGTCATCTTTCTTGGCCTCCTCTGGCCTTGATAACACATTTGTTCACCACCCTTTTGTTCATGGATTGTATCAACTTTTTAATAGTAGAATGGGGCTATGTGCCCCTTCCTTAAAGCCGCTTTCAGCTGTTGAATGTTCTTCGGAGCTGGTTCTAGCCGTTTTAGCTCGTCCCATAAATGCTCTATTGGGTTAAGTTCTGGATTACGTGCTGGCCAGTCCAGAATTTGTATTAACACTTCTCGCAAGTACTTCTCACGCACTACGCAGTCATGGAGCGCGCACTATAGTGCATTCATATAAATTCTTGACTGATAAATCCTGAGTATGGCTCTACATGCTCTTCAAGAATGGTAGTGATGAACGAATCAGCAGTCACAGTTCCTCTTTCTACGAAAACCAGCTCTGTACTGGCTTCTCAGCTTATACCTCCCCAGAACAAAACTGAACCACCTCTAAAACTTACCCTTTCAGATATGGCACATTATGCATATCATTCTTCCGGTCTACGATGTTACTCTTTTGCAACCATCAGCACCATATAGACACATACAGAAAAGACACCTACACGTACTCATCAGAAAAGAGTTCCAAGAGAAGAGACTTGCTCCCATAGTGACAATGTCCAGTCACGGTGCTTACGAGCAAAATTAAACTACTTTTAAACTGCGTTCTTCAAGTCGTCTTCTTATTGTCCTATCACTTACTGAGACACCTCGGACATCTTTTCGCAGGTACTGCAATTCTACTCCAGAATCATGACGATTTCTGACACTTACTGACAATATAAATCGATCATGCCGTTCAGATGTCTCTCTTCTTCGGCCTGATCCAAATCTTCTGATGTAACGTCTGGGTAATGTTTGTAATGTTCGGTTACCATAGTACAGGCACTGCCTAGTTTGGGATCAGACTGCCGTGTGTGAGATGTGTGAAGTTATTATTATTATTATTTATTCTTTTAGCGTCTAAAGAAACGTAAGATAAGTAATTCGTAATTATATGTTAATAATAGATAAAAGTTCGCTCTACGCATTGATTACAAATTCTAATAGACATGATTATATTCTAAATGTAAAACAAAATGCTGCTTTGTGATGAACCAATTACGTGCAAATCTAATCACTTAAGATATGTATAAAGAATTAGTATTTATCAGGCTACGATACGTATGTAGTCTATAGTCATTAAAGCTGATAATCATTTAAAGGAATTTTCATTTAGACATTTTTTTCTTATTAAATTTTTAATTAACAAACTAAGGAATACTACAAAGTGGCTAACTAAATTGCTCCATTGATTAGCCATCCCGCCTGTTAAACTACAATATAAATATAATATATGACTACCTTGGTGATGCTGTGGAAGCGTATGCGACTCTTAAACTAAGGTCTCTCTTTTACGAAAAAAAAGTATATGAGTATTTTATCAATCAATCTAGCTTTCATAGTATAGCTCTGCTTAGTTTGAAACTAGATTGCGTTGTGTGTCGAATGTCCGAAAATGTTAGTATATCATATACTTTGTATTGTGTCCAGTCATAGTTTTTTCTAAAATATATGTATGTATTTAGATACAGGGAGTATTTAAATTAGCAGTTTGGTTACTATGAAATTTGCTATAGCCTTTTCCCAGCCTAGTTTCGGGATCAGACAGTTCTGTGAAAGATGTTTCAAGTTATTATTATTAAATAAATGCAAATTTAAAATAATTAATAATTTGGATAATACTTTTATTAGTAGCTAAATAAATGTTAATTGAGAAGATAATATATTTAAACTTATGTGTTAAAGTTTCATTAACGTCGTAAGATGGTAGTTTAAATTTTGTCTCATTTTTGTCATTTAAATAATAATTAAATAATTAACTTTGAACAGATTATTACCGACATCCACTCAATACATACTGCTTTATTTTTTGCTAGGGGTTATATATGTTTGTATATCTAAATATAAAATTACGTGTGTTGTGTTGTGTAGTATATATGTCACTCACGATGTCTACACTACCTAAAGGTTGACTTAGAGAGAATGCCTTGGGTATTAAGTCCGCCGATGTACAAATGTGCATAAAGTTATAAATAAATATATTTTTCTGGAACAAAACGGGCAATATTCAAATCGCTTTATAATTGACTGTGTTCTGAAGTAACAAACAGAAAAAAATTACTACGGAATTAAATCCTGTTTTTTTTAAAGTAGGTTAAAAAAATAAGGTAGAATATTGTTTTTTTTTGTAACCTTAATACTTGCGTTATTAAACTTCTATTACACGCATTATAAAAACATATTTTTATCGATGATTATACTAATCACCTAACTGTTCATTACCATATATTGACAAGACGATTGATGGTGCGATAGGGGATCTAGAAATCGATAGGCTGTTCTGTTACCACGTCGCATTTGTATTTATATTATTGTATAGTCTTCGCCTTATTTGCGCGTGTCAAATAAAAGTGATACATACGGTTGAAACTGTATAAAAATAATTCGGGAATTTTATGACGATACAAATGCACATGAGCCCACTTTTATCAAAACAAATTAATTTAGATTAGATCTTCTTTTCACAGTTTTAGGAGCATTCAAGAAATTTGATTTAAAGATGTGCCCTTTGTTACATTTCAAATCTTTCAGAGTAAGACTAAGTTCAAGAGTAGGTACTACTCATATTGATAGGTCATTATTACTATTATTATAAAGCCCTCCACTTATACATCAAGTAGTTTATAGAAGAAAAATAAATTTTATAAGGGGAGGTTTGCCAATAGCTAGGCTTATTTGCCACATTCAGTGCCTTACGTTTACCACTACTAGATTTCACAGAAAAATTTCGTTGTGGCGACTTCAACATAGAATGAAACGAAGAAACATACTACAGCGCCATCTATCGAAGCCACAGTGAACTACGCAGTAACTGCTAAGCCTGTATCGCGATATGAAAAGTTCTCAAACATCAAGCGTTGGACCGCGACCCGCCAGACATGATCACTTCGCCTGGTAAAAGGAAAGCCTCCTCCCTTTGTGTTGGAGGGACATGACCCCCGTTTATCCACACTCGTTATGTACAAATCATACATATTTTATTTTCGTTTTTTGTTTAATATCTGAAACCAACAGTTTCAAATAAAAAAAAAACACACAATTAAGTTTAATCCTATTATTTTTTTAATATTCTTGAATTGTATGTATAAAAATAGACAAACGCGTGATCGAAATAAAACATAGCTTTTACTAATGTATATGCAAAACCAAATAAAAAAAACTACACGAAAGGTTAAAACATATAGATTTTATTTATCTGTGTAATAAAAATGAAAATTATGACGATTGAACTTAATATCGATATTAAAAGAGAAACGAGTATCTAATGAGTGAACACGTCTCGCTACTCCATTTCATTATAACGGATCAAGTCTAATTCACTGTACAATGCACACAATAGAAATAGATTGAAATACATATTAAATGAATTTTCTGACTCCGTGATATTATTTTAACTCCAAATAAATGTATACATCTTGTTAAATGGTAAGGTGGTACATCAGATTCGAATCAACTAATACCACATAGAGTCTTTATCTTATCACATCGTAATCATATCCATGTCTTATCGCCGGGGTCTAAGGTGTATCTTGGAATAGAAATCCTAATGAGCCCTGTCAGGTTTGGCCGCATGTTGTTCAATGCAACTTCACTGTTATGTGTTATGATTCTTGTCCCCTACTGTCTTGGGCCTGCTTCTGCTAGGGCTACAAAGAGCCGTGTACGCCTTCTGCGGCACGACTTGTCCTCTCCTATTCAATTTCCACCTTTGCCTCTTTAACCAGATAAATTTATCACAGCTTGACCAGCCTATCACAGTCCACTGCTGGACATAGGCCTCCCCCATTGCATGCCACTTAGATCGATTTTCGGCCTGATCCTGACACGCAAATGGCAACTGCCACTTGCAGAAATTGCAGATGGTTCATTGTGATTGTATCTTTGAGTGTTTTTTTTTTAGTAACGCAAGCATGTGCACAAACTCAAATATCTACCACTAGGCATACTGATGTCGAAGAGGGTTCATAGTCTGTATAGACCGTTAGGAAGGTACGACACTTTTTTGTTTAATTTAGTGGTTTTAAATCTTTAATCCGCTACCTAAAATAGTTCTAGCAAAAGAGGTACCAGGTATTTTTGTGTGCAGAAATGTGTTTATTATTTTAGGAAAATACTACGATTGTATGACGCCTGGAACAGTCCGGATTCCTGAAAAATGGTACCGGTCGAGTTCAAAACTAGTCAGGCATTCCAAATATGCCAATCGTGAGCAAAACCATCTTTAACAAATTACTCTGACAGCATAATATTTTTTTTTTGACATTTTAGCATATCATCTTGCGTTTGTATTTTGATGACGTTTGAAATACGAAATTCAAATATGGCAGCAGTAACACACATGACATCTGTCTCAAAATAGTATTCGATTTAAAATATTTTGGCCCTTAGCCGGCAAATTGAATCTGAATGTGCCCGCGGCGGAATTATACAAGTATCAAAGGTTCAATTACAAATTAATATTACAACACGTGTACTGCACACACGTTCATATGTGACACCTCCGGTAAGACAAAGGCATTGCACTTTTAGTAATTTTACAGGAAAATCATTTTAAATATTTTTTCAATTAAGCTACATATAGGTATACTAATTTAATAAAGAGGATAGATTTGATGTTTAACCGACTTCAAAAAGGATTTTTTTTATGTATGTTCGGTCATAACTACATCATATATAGACGGATTTTCAAAATTCTTTTTCTGTTCGAAATGGGTTTATGCCGAAAAGGTCCCATTTAATTTTCATATAGATCTGATGATGAGTTTCGGAGACAGACAACGGAACTCCTCAAAAAATCAAAGCAAATCAACCGCGGCTGCTGCTAGAGTTTTACTGCTCTTTGTTAGTAGTGTTTGAAGTCGGTTCAATTTTTTTTAAGTGATTTGCTTGTTTTATTTGTAATGGATACGCTCTAGATTTTTTAGCTTCATTATCAGCGGTAGAGCATTTTATTTTGAAAATATATTTAATTAAAAAATGATGATAATTTGAAACAAGGTAGTTATACAATTTTGAAATAAATTTTTGCTTTCTTCACATGCTCTGCAAAAACTAATAATGGTGTAAAAAATACGATATGTAGGGAACAGGCACAATAGACACAAAAAAGTCCGCGAGGAGGTATATCTTAATATTATAGTTTAGCTATATTAACAATTTTTTGTAGAAATTGGATCAAAACAAAAAGTGAATCTATCAGTATCATGATATTAGTCCTTATCTAAGTAAACCAATCAGTAATTAAGACCATATATTTAGGTGCAAATTACTTTATGAAGAGTACAAATCGGTCAATTCATTTTGAAGTTATGATGAGTAGATACCTATTGCAAAGTAAATATTATCGTAATTTTGCAATACGAAATTTTACACCTTACAAAAAATAATGGGTTATTTAAGAAGCCATTTTAAATTGAACAGAAAAAAAGAAGAGATGAAAAAATTGACTAAAACAAGTGCATACATTTTTCCACTAAATATTTTTCAATACTCAAATATTAATAAATTCTCAACCACTGTTTTATAAACATAGAATATTTGTATCTCAAAACAATATTCCTAGATATCTTTCTGAAAAAAATTAAACTATTCTTTTTTTATTTCACACTATCTTCAACTGAGTCCACAAAATTCCTGACTGATGAACCTCTTAGAAAGAAGTCTACACTATTAAAAGTAACAAAAAAAACTTACCTACACCAATACCCGTGAGAACACCAACCAAAGTCACAACCAGCATCACATTGTCCATCAGGAATTTCTTCAAGCCAGTCGGTTCCACGGGTGCGGACCTGTCTTCCGTGGTCTTAGGCCCCCTGTCGCCGGGGCCCATCTTTGCAAATAAATATTCTGAAAAGCGGTCACTTTTCTCCATTACAGGGGAAATTGGACTATGTAGCCCAGATCCTGAGACCTGGCGGTGATTTACTATCACTTTGTTTCAATATCACCGGTACTCAAAAAGTTATTGAAAATTAATTACAAAAAGCTATTCAATACTGTTTAGTTTATCATCTTGAGCTAATTTTAGTCTTGGGTGTTTATTTTCATTTATGAAATGCTCAATTTTATTTAATTAATGTTCCATATTATTTATTTTAAATACAGTTCGGAACGAGAGCGTTGCTTGCTTTTGTTCCGCGGTGGACTAAGTCTGATGGTACACTAACCCACAGCATATCTTCAGTCTTTTACTATAGAACAAGTGCATTATCACTAAGCTGTTACCATCGAAACTTAACTAATCGTTGCTGTTTTATTGAAAGATTTTTGTACGTAGAGCTCACGAAAGCAGCGATGTATATCTAAATTACAAGACAATCGTACCGGCTCAATTGACGCAAGAAGCCATGTTTACCGGTGCGCGCGCATCCATCGATTCTTGTACCATTCACTTAGATATATTAAATTTCTATAAATAGATTATTAAATTGCGGGCATTATAGTTTTGCTAAGGTATTACAGTCGTTCACACTTTATGCAATTATCTATGCACAATGTGGCGGGAAACTATTCAAGAATCCGTAGGTGTTCAAGGGTCTTTTGTTTTGTTATGGGGGCGGAACTAATTAAATCTCTGGATGGATTTTTCTGTTACTACCGCACATTTTACACACTTTCAAGTTAGATATAGTTAAGTAACTGAGCAAAGTAAGTAATAATTTTTAAATTAAATTATTTGTTTTTAATAAATTTGGTAGTCAACCGATGTCAGCTATTCTGCTAATGTAAGATGCGATGGAAATACGTGGATAAAGAAGATAAGAAAGAAGGATTAAAAGAAAAGTTCTGGATTTCAGAGGACTGAAGTAGTAATTAATTATTGCGTGTCTTCAATCAATCAATGACAGTTTATGAAATTGTTCATTTGCACTTTATAGTTTCGTAATTATTTTAATTTGAGCAGTTTTTAAGTAGTCTAAATAAAATACTATGAATGCCATCACATAAACATTTATTGTCCGAAGTGAAAATATAATTTATAATTTGAATTTAAAACATTTAGTTGTTGTATTTTATAACTGTAAAAAATTGACATTTGATGTTGCAAAAGTTATACTCGTATATAGTGAAAAGTTTAGACCAAAAGATAGACTCATTGCTTGAATTTTAAAATTAAACCAAAAATCACTGTTTACGGAGCTCGGTATGTAAATAATCGATAAAATAACGATAACCTATAACAATCACAAAGGTAAACAACTGCCTTTTTAATTAGACAAATCATTAAGTCGGTTTGGAAAGTAATAGAACTAAATTGATTATTTAAGTAAACAATATATAAGAACATTTCTTAGTTTACGAATTAATTTTTTTGTATTATTGTTAAGAAACTCGTATATAAAGTTCAGATGAAAACTATATCTAACTATGAACAACATTACATACGAGACTTTGCAATAATCCCATTCTTTTCACAATTTCATTTGGGATCGGCGACATGTTGCATTGAATAGAGTTTCGACTGCTTTCTTTTATGGCTTACTGCCAACATTCCTTGGGAATATAATCGTTAACAGACGGGACAAAGGAATGAAATAGTATTAACTCGAAAAGGCTAGGGTCGCATAATCGTTTGAGTGTCCTTTTTGTTTTATTTTACGAACGCAAACGAGCAGGCGGGCACCTCATGATAAGTAACTATCACTGTCCATGGACACCAGAACTTAAGAGTCAGAAGTGTATTGCCGTCCTTTCAGTCCCACCATACCCGCTTCCAGGGAAAATCCAAGAATACCACAAATCACCACTGCCAATAATTAAAACACAGGTATTTCCGACAATCACATTTAATCAAAAATGTTATATGCCATTTTTAGTGGCGGCCATCTTGGATTTGAAATTTATCATAGTATATAGTATTCTACTAGTCAAGCCCTTTCATTTAATACCCACATTGAGGGAGTTCTGAATAAATACGTAATACGCCATTTTGTGGCAAATGTAGTAACTATAGGTTATAAATAATAAAGAAGTATCTAATTTTACTAACTTTAAGCTGTAGAGATTTTGTTTCTCTGCTTGTATAGATTTTTCGGTTTTTAATATTCTGGCAAGACGCAGACAAAAAGGCACCGGCTGGTCTCAAACGTTACGGCGTTTAAGCGGCGTTGTACGAAATGAAGGATAGAATAGCATGCAAACAGTGCAGATACTATATATTAGCTAGCCATACACGCACAGATCTGCCTGTCGGATCTGTCCAACAGGCAGACCCGTGATTCGCCACACACGAGTACGGGCAGCAGTTCAGATCGTAATGCCAGCAAATACGGTCGTCTGTAAAAACTAGTCTTTTTAAACTAGTGTAGAAGCAATGGGAAAGCTTCTTTCCTTCTTTAATCGTATCCTACTCTAATTATCTGTGGCGCTATTTTTAAGTTTTCCACCCACTTGCTATTGTGGCGCCATCTTAATTTGCTGCCTTTCAGTGGACACTTTTTAATATATGAGATGGTTCTCCTTACCTCTACCCTCCATACTTGGAGTGTTAGAGCGCGACGTCAAATCTGGCGGGTACATCCGTCGCTACGCACACACGCACAGTTGGGAGCTCGGATCTACCCGCCCCGTGCCCGATCCGCTCGATTTGACCACGGGCAGCGGGCAGGCACCGGGCGTGCAAATCCGTGTCCGTTCTCACCATACACGCACGGATCTGTCCGCCAGGCACGTCTGTCGGTTTTTGTTATTGGTGAAGTGTTTTTCTCATGTCAGTGAATTTATTTTAATTCTTAGTGAGAAATAAAGATCTTAAACCATAAACCATAAGAGGCCCAGTGAAGCGGTGGTGCGTTTTTCGTATTGTGGACCATGACCGTACCTCACAGTTATTTGAAGTGAAGTCTTCCACAAAAAGTGCAGATATTTATCTTTCCGTCACTTCCAACATGATTGCACTAATTTATCCCCTAAGTTATCACGAGAGAGAACATAAAATCTACCTTTGTGTATATATACTGAGGTTAACTACAATAATAGCGTAAGGTTTAAAAATGCGCAGGTATGAATGTTTGTGGTTGAGTTGCTGGCATACGCAGAAAAAAGAGCATCGGTCTCAAACCTCAGATAGCTAGGATAGCGTGCCAACATATCAGACAATATTTTCGCGTTTGTGGAGATAACTTGACTTTAGAAATAATCCTAAAAAAGATATGATTTAATTTAAAAACACATTATCACTGACCAAGATATTTAACATCATTAAATACCATCCAAAAAGCCAATATTAAGTTATTTCAGATAGGCCTTAGACCGGACCGGGAGTGTCCTAAACCGGTTTCTGTACGATTCAATTCGTATTTCATCATGCATGTGCCAAAGTTGCTGCTTGGAGTCTAAATTTATATTCATTCTCTATCTCTGTCTGGCAACAACATGTATAAAACTGGCGAGTCTGTTGGTCTAGTGGTTAGTGACCCTGATTGCTAAGCTAAAGAGATTTTGGGTTCAACTCAAGATAAATATTATGTGATGAGCACGATCCTCGTCATTACGCTGTTTACACATGTATATTACTCTTTCATTGACCCAGTTACAGTTACTTATTTAACCTAATTTACGTTGTTTACATAGCTCATACGAGTTCGCAAATATGTTGCGTATATTATCTGAAATGTCATTAGGCGAATTACGAGAAAGACATGCATTCCAATTCGCTCGGCGCAGCTCAGCCACCAGCCGTTCCCTATCGTAGGTATAAATAGTGCGTTTGTTTACATCGTCCTGCGGCCGCCGTTCAGTTAGGAGTGTGCATGCCGTTATATAGTTTTCAGCTGGCGACTCATTTATTACCGCGGAATAGATAGTAGCAGCTGTCGCTGTGCTGCCCCGGACGAATATGTGACGAATAACATATATTTTGTCCGACTCGGTTTTCCGTATGAGAATGTTGCCGCGTTTACACCACACAAACTTGACCAGATTTGTAAGCTTTAATTCCGACTTTGCACGCCAAAGGAGGTGAGCAGTAGTAGGAGAAAGTGCCTCCCTTAGAAATAATTTCGAGTTACCCTCTCTTCCGATATCTCGTTCCGTAATGACCTTCGTTTTTGCTGTTTCCAACCATGCATCCCGTTGATCCTCTTTCAGAGTTATTACCAGGGTTCCTGCATTCATCTTCTGACCGTCGGTAGATTTGTTTTGCTTTCTGTACACTTTGATAACACTTTCTGCTTCCATTTCTAATCTGTCACAGATTTTTTGTGTAATTTGCGAGAGATTTTCATTTTCCTGTTCGACGATCCCGCATATTTCCAGCTGATTATTCATGCTTTTTTGTTCTATTGCGTTTATTTTTTGTTCCATAAATTCTGATTTATTTTTAATGTGGGTATATTTGTTGTTTAAATCTTTGTATTGTCTATCCATTATTTTGATTTTTTCTTCATAGCTATTGATTGCCTCCTGAAATTCGAATTCGAATTCGAAAGTCGATTTTGTCAGAGAAAAACTGGAGACTTCTTTTCATTTCTTCCTGTATGGTTTCTCTGATTTGGCGCCGTATTTTCTTCATCATACTGCCATGGTTTGCTAGCCCTGCTATCTCAGAGTCAGTATTTTCATCCTCTTCATCTGGGAGGATGGCTGAGATTCGTCTTTGATTGGTTTGATTAGAGCAAGGCTTGCACTTCCAATCTGCGGACTCCACAGCGGTTAGGGCGCCTAATTGCTCGGTAGTTAACGATGCACAGCTTGCATGCCACCATTTATTGCACCGCCACACTGCAGTCCGGCTAATTTTTTTGTAATTACCTTGCTGCACTTAGCACACTTTGCCATTTTAGAGAAAAAGAAACGATTTCTAAAATTTCACTGAGAAATATTTTTTTT